TAGCACACAGGCAGCACAGTGAGCACTGGTGTAGTTACACAGTCCGTCCACATGAGGGCGCTGTGTCCCAATGCTCTGTAAAAGGTCCTTGATCACAGGGAGGAGGCTTGATTCTCACACGCGAGTGTCTCCAGTCGCAGAGAGATCAAACTTCAGCTCATGTTCTTAAACCTCCCACACAATTATTCATTAAAAGCACTGTGGGTTTTCTACCACTAGGGGCATCACCGCTATAACAACAACAAAGCAGTCTGATGATGTCATGAGGTCAAGTAGTGCGGGATCATGGGAGTTGTTGGCCACATGTTAGAACTTGTTTTTTTTTTAATATGGCAAACTCAAAGAAGAAGGCAGAAGTCAGCGTGTTCTGTCAGTTTGTTAAAGACATGAATGTTTTTAAAAAGATTCTTCACACATTAGTTTAAACTCAGGATCATATGTGGAAACCAGCAAGACATGGTCACTGGTTTAGGGTAGTGATTGGCTGGGAGTCAACAGGGTCACTGGTTTGGGTGGTCATTGGTTTGACTGGTCACTGGTTTTGGTGATCACTGGTTTGGATGGTCACTGGTTAGGGGTGCAGCGGTGGCTCTTGTAGGTCCCCAGGTGTCTGAAGCTCCGCCCACAGGTGTGGCAGCAGTATGGCGTTGCCCCACTGTGGATCCTCTGGTGGGTGTACAGATTTCCCAGCTCCTTGAAGCGGCGTCCACACTGGGGGCAGGCATATGGACTCTCCCCAGTGTGGACCCTCTGGTGTCTTTTCAGTCCGGACAGCACAGAGAAACCCTTCCCGCACTGGGGGCAGGGGAAGGGGCTTTGGGCTCCACTGTGCACCAGGCGATGGCTCTTGAGGCGTGCGGCATGTCTGAAGCGCTCCCCGCAATCCGGGCACATGAAGGGCTTCTCCCCAGTGTGGATTCTCTGGTGCTGCCGCAGGTTCCCCAGGTAGTTAAAACGCCGCCCACAGTCTGCACACTCGTAACCCCCATCCGTTTTCACTTCTCTCTTAACCGGCCCCGCCCCTCCCCGAGCCACTTCCCCTGCTATGGCCTCGTCCTGTAACCCCCGGCCCTTCCTGAGCTCAGCTCCGCTCTCTGTTGAGGGGGGGGCGGGGCCTGTGGCCTGCAATGCCTGCATAGCGTCAGCAGAGTCAAGGTGTATCAGTTTGATGTGCTCCTCCAGGTACACAGAGTCTGGACAGAAGGTTCCACACAGAGAGCAGAAGAAGGAGAGAGAAGGGAACTGACCTGTGACACACAAAGACACACACACACACACACGCTTCAGTTTCATTTTGACACCCCCCACTCATCCTGACTTTAAACTACAGCAGGTTACAGTGAATAACACTCCCTATGAAACCATGTGAGTCTCTGAGTATCCTTGTTTACACGTCTACTTCTTCAGACGAGCAGTAAACATTCATAAACATAAATATTCTAATGCATCATATGTAAATATATGCATTATATAAATGTATTCTGTCAACTCGTGTGTTTGTTAATCTTCATCCTCACTGTGACTCACCTCCTGCAGCTCGCTCTCCCCCCTCCTCAGGACTCCCCCCCTCCCCAGGATCTCCGTGCTCCTCCATGGAGAACTCTGAGGTCTGGACCTGTGACAGGGGGTCCTGATCCTCCCCTCTGGTCGACTCCTCCTCCTCCTCCTCCTCCTCCTCCTCCTCCTCTGTCTCTGTGAGGGGGGGGTTCTCACAGTCTGACTCCTTCAGGCCTGTCAAAAGACACAGTCAATTGGCTCCCTCTGCTGGTTACAGTTCAAACTGCTGTTCTGTGAGCAATGTCAATAAAGTTGAATTTAATTTGAAAAAAAACTCTGCTCATGTTGTTCTGATCAACAGCTGTTTGTAAACAAGTTTAAGCTTCTTTTGCTGTTTTCTACCTCAAAGACAGACACACCTTTACCTGAAGTTTAAATACCTGAACAGGTGACTCTGAGACCATGATAGAACTGTTGTAACTCTCCACACTAACACACCTTTACCTGAAGTTTAAATACCTGAACAGGTGACTCTGAGACCATGATAGAACTGTTGTAACTCTCCACACTAACACACCTTTACCTGAAGTTTAAATACCTGAACAGGTGACTCTGAGACCATGTTAGAACTGTTGTAACTCTCCACACTAACACACCTTTACCTGAAGTTTATACCTGAACAGGTGACTCTGAGACCATGTTAGAACTGTTGTAACTCTCCACACTAACACACCTTTACCTGAAGTTTATACCTGAACAGGTGACTCTGAGACCATGATAGAACTGTTGTAACTCTCCACACTAACACACCTTTACCTGAAGTTTATACCTGAACAGGTGACTCTGAGTCCATGTTAGAACTGGTGTAAACATTTTGTCGGGACGTCTTCACAAATCACAACACATTGAGAGTTTAGCATCTACCACAGCAACAGAAGCCACGCCCCCCCCCCCCCAGCACACTGACTTAGTTGCAGTAATAGATTGGTTGACACATTAAGGCAACTGAAGTCAATAACTGATCGCATGCTGGATGTCTAGGACTTCTAATGTTGTTAACAAACAGACCTGCTCTGTGACCCCGCCCCCTCAGACCTGGTCGTACCTGTCAGGTGTGCGGAGAGTTCCGTTGGGGGGGTCCAGTCATAGTCGTAGTCCCTCTTACTTCCAGGGGGGAGCAGACTGAACAGGTCCTCTGAGGTTGACTCCGAGTCTCCGGGCCCAGATCCGGGTCCGGCCCACAGGTGGAGCGACTGCGGGTCCGGGTTCTGGTCCTGGTCCGGGTCTTGCCCCCCCCTGGAGGTCTTCATCAAGTGGTCGCAGATCGCGTCGATGTTCTCCTTCTTCACCCCGGACTGCAGGATCCTGGTCCTGCGTGGGTCAATGGGACCGGCTTTGTTAGAGTCCGGCTTCTTCAGACCAGGATCCAGTGCGGTTCCTGCAGAGAACGGGTCCCTCTGATCTGGGTCCAGCCGTGCCTTCAGGACCCGGATCTCCTCGGTCTTCTCCCGCAGTTCGGTCTTCAGGACACGGATCCGGACGCTGACCATATCGCGGATGTCGTTGAGAGCCGAGTCCAGAACCACGGTCAGCTTCCGGCCCAAGTGCTCCGTGATGTGGCTCACCGACACCAGCAGCTCTTCGTCCTGATCCTGGTCCAGAAAGTCCGCATCAGTCCGGCTTGAGGTCCCGGGAGGCTCCATGAAGACCGGGTTCAGCTCCGGGATCAAGTCTGGAGACAGACTCTGAGTCCGTCTGCGGCTCATGGTGCACCGGGTCCGGGTCTGCTGAAGAGTCCGGATCACAGCTAACAGCTAATGTTTGTGTGAAGCTAACAGTCAGGGTAGCATCGTTAGCAGGAGCAGATATTTCCGGTTTCTCTTCCAATCAAAAGCTGCCTCATCTTAAACAGCAGCGTTAGACTCTTATTTAGAAAGCAATGACCGGAAGAGTGTGTTGTATTTTCATGCCTTGACATAAAACACCACAGAAGAAGAGTAAGGGCTGAAGTCAGCAAAGTTTAAGTGCATGTAAACAAGCAGCGCCCTCTTCAGTCACAAAGGGGAACTGTCCGGATTTTAACTGAGAGCATACAAAAAGTGATAGGATTAAAAAATCTGTAAAAATGGGGCAATGGTGGGGCAGTGGTTCGTGCGCGCGGCCCAGGTTCAAATCCGACCTGTGGCTCCTTTCCTGCATGTCATACCCCTCTCTTGCTCCCTGATTGCCAACTCTGTCCACTATCATATCTCTACAATAAAGGCACAAAACACACATAATATTTGGCACAAATATTTGAAATTTGTTTTTTACAGAATCTGTAAAAATCAAACCATATTAGTATGAACAGTATACAGACTCATCCTCTTCATAAGAAACATTTTCTACATGTGCTGCTGGCTTCAGATTTATCTGCCAGCTTAATTTATTATTGGGTTGTTTTTTACGGTGTGCAATAAACATCAGCTGTGTGTGTGTGTGTTTGTGTGTCATGTGCTTGTCAGGAATAAACTGCAGACAGACAGGCTGCAGCTCACAGTGACTCAGGTTAAACCATGTTCAGAGTGTCAGATGTTTCTACAGCACGCCTTTAAAACACTGCAGATAATGATCCAGAAGAGCTTTAAATAAATCTACATCAAACTATCTTCAGTCAGAGTTCTGACTGTATGATGACACATCTGTGAGACACGACGTCACAGCTCCGAGACACGACGTCACAGCTCCGAGACACGACGTCACAGCTTTGAGACACGACGTCACAGCTCCGAGACACGACGTCACAGCTCTGAGATGATGCCAAAGCTCTGAGACATGACATCACAGCTCCGAGACACGACGTCACAGCTCCGAGACACGACGTCACAGCTCCAAGATACGACATCACAGCTCTGAGACACGACGTCACAGCTCCAAGATACGACATCACAGCTCTGAGACACGACGTCACAGCTCCGAGACACGACGTCACAGCTCTGAGATGATGCCAAAGCTCTGAGACACAACGTCACAGCTCTGAGACACGACGTCACAGCTCCGAGACACGACGTCACAGCTCCAAGATACGACGTCAGAGCTCCGAGACATGACGTCACAGCTCTGAGATACGACATCACAGCTCTGAGACACGACGTCACAGCTCCGAGACACGACGTCACAGCTCTGAGATGATGCCAAAGCTCTGAGACATGACATCACAGCTCCGAGACACGACGTCACAGCTCTGAGACGCGACATCACAGCGAGTGTTTATGTAGAGTAAAAAGGAGAAATGACCCATGTTTGTTTATCTTAGTTCTGGTGCTTTTGAAACATGAATCTATCGTTTTTATATAAAATATATGTATTATATTAGATTGATAGACATAAATCAGTTAAAGTCAAAGCATGCCTTTAAATGAATAATTATAATCATTATAATAATGAAACAATTTAAAACATTAAGATGTTTAAATATTATGACATCACAAAAATACTTCCCAATAAAAGTCTTCATGACATAAAAGAGAAATATTGAAAGGATCAAAGTGTGTGAATACATTCACAACAAATATCATATATAGCCTAATTATATAATAAAATTAACTAACACCATCTCCTTCTGAAGAATAATGAGATGAAAAACGACTTGAATGATTCAAACTTACAGGAACACGTTTTGTCAAGGAGACCTTTATTTTGGAAAGGTCCGCGGGAAGTTAGCTCCTACCCTCTCCTGCACGCGCATACAGGAGCAGCGGAGAGAGACACGTGACGGTACTCTGTGATCGCTGGGGAAACTTCACGGTCTTACCGGACATGTCGACCGGACCGGACCGAGACTCCCGCGGCGGCTGGTCCCGGAGAAGAGGCTCTGCAGGCGGGCAGCAGCTCCGGGAGGCTCCAGGGAGATCCCGGAGCTCCAGGGGGGGTAAGAGAAAGTTTATATTGACTATATCTGCTCCGATTATAGATTCAAGATTCAGGATTATTATATCAAGATAATTAGAAAGATATTATGAAGATAAATAAAGCTATAAAGGTTATTGAGTTAAAAAGATGATTAATCAGATAATTCATGATAAAGGTTATTCAGTTAAATTTGTTTCTGCTGATGTGTCAGAGTCTGTTTTTATAAACTGATAAGAGTCAAACAAACAAACAGTCTGTTTGATTATTGATTAATTTAAAGTTTTTATAAAAATACTGAAATGATCTCCTTGAAAATAAAACCGGATGTTTTAAATAAACATACAACAAAATAAAATCAGAGGAAATCCTTTGTGATGTTTCAAACTTTTTCTAAACATTAAGACGTAATGTTAGACTCAGAGGTCCTGGTCCTCGATGTACTGAGGTCATGGTCCTCGATGTCAGAGGTCCTGGTTCTCGATGTACAGAGGTCCTGGTCCTTGATGCACGGAGGTCCTGGTCCTCGATGTACGGAAGTCCTGGTCCTCGATGTGAGGAGGTCCTGGTCCTCGATGTACGGAAGTCCTGGTCCTCGATGTGAGGAGGTCCTGGTCCTTGATGTACAGAGGTCCTGGTCCTCGATGTACAGAGGTCCTGGTCCTCGATGTACGGAGGTCCTGGTCCTCGATGTACGGAAGTCCTGGTCCTCGATGTGAGGAGGTCCTGGTCCTTGATGTACAGAGGTCCTGGTTCTCGATGTACAGAGGTCCTGGTCCTCGATGTACGGAAGTCCTGGTCCTCGATGTACGGAGGTCCTGGTCCTCGATGTACGGAAGTCCTGGTCCTCGATGTGAGGAGGTCCTGGTCCTTGATGTACAGAGGTCCTGGTCCTCCATGTACGGAGGTCCTGGTTCTCGATGTACGAAGGACTTGGTCCTCGTCACAGCAGCCATGGTTTTGAATCTGTCCTTGGCCCTTTGATGCACGTCACACCCTCTCCTCCTTACACTTCCTGTCTCTCTTCAGCCATCCTCTCCAATAGCACAAAAATAACTCACACACCAACATGTGATGTCACAGATGGTCAGGTACGCCCAGGTGGGAGAGAGAGAGAGACCCAGGAGGAGGTCTGTATGAAACACGGACGTTGTCTCAGTGACGTTGTCACAGGTTTTTAAAGAGGGAGGAGATTTGAAACTCAACCATAGAGGTCGCCATTTTGGAAATGCTGACTCTACCTGACTTTAGATCAATCTAGAAACAGACAGGGAGGCGGGGCTGAGGGTGGGGCTTAACCCTCCTGCCAAACAGCGACAACATGCTCACAAAATGGTTATGGCGATCTATCGTCGCGTCTTGGCCGATAAGTGTGCAGCGATGGTGCAGTTCACATCAAAGCCAACAGGCGGCAGTAGAAGCTAAACGATGCACCGCAGGTTTCATCGGCTTAGTTTGGAAGTTACGCTGTTCTGATGAACTTTACGTCTCCATGGTAACCAAACAATGACACAACTCGAGTTAGTTTAGTGAGGACTTGAAATTCAAACGTACAAACAGCTGCTGAAACAGGAAGTGGACAATCGGAGGGAGGGCTCATCACTTCTTCTTCGTGTGTTTCACAGTGCGTAGTTCCTGCAGAGACGCTGCCAGTCTGAAGAGATCTCTATCCACCTGTGATGACGCCTTTCCAACAGGTGAGACCAGACAGGTGTGCTTCTTCTTCTTCTCACAGGTCCTTTCTTTATACTCAAATCTCTCCACTTCCTGTCCATAGAGAGAAATAAATACCATTTTGTCAAAGGTGAAAAATTATGATTACAAGTGTTCTTTAAGTTATCGGATCAAACGCTCTCAGCTGATTCAAACAACGATTAAACAGTTAAGTCAGAGTGAGCTGATGTGAGAACGCAGCAGGATATAATCAGGAGAATTCACCTGGAGCGAGTGGGAGTGGGTGGTGACGTTTATTCCCTGTGATCGCTGCACAACCATAAACTGTCTGCACGCCACCTCTACCATCTCCGTGCTCTAATGAACCTGCTGCATTATGTTTCCTGTTCTCCAGTATGTTCTTCTCCACTCTTTAGTTCACATTGACATTCTGTTCAACTACATGTAGCATTGATAGAAAGACACATATTCTCATTATAGAGTCGTATAGAGGACTCTGCTGAGACTCTTGATTAGAGTGTTAAAGTGGAAACTGTTCGTATTTGATCGGAGATTAGCCGTGAGGAACATTTCTAAACTTGATGTACAGACTCCGCCCCCTGAATGGACCACAGTGTGGAGCTGTCACATGACCAGAGTTTTAAACGTCTTAATGATTCTCGTTAAACTCAATGAGAAAAGTTTAACAGAGTCATGAGACTGAGCGTGAACTGAGTGGATGTTTATACCTTGAACCTGCAGCTCCTCTGTGGTCACTCATTAAACACTGAGCCAGTCAGAGCCTGGCTGAATACTGCTGCTAACCACTGTGTGTGTGTGTGTGTGTGTGTGTGTGTGTGTGTGTGTGTGTGGTGTGTGTGTGTGTGTTTGACTGTGTGTGTGTGTGTGTGTGTGTGTGTGTGTGTGTGTGTGTGTGTGTGTGTGTGTGTGTGTGTGTGTGTGTGTGTGTGTGTAGCTCTGCCTGTCCTCCTGGAGTGTGTTCGGGGTTCGGAGCGACTTCCTGCAGATGACTGTTTTCAGGAAGAGCTGAGAGGAAAACTGAGGATCCTGCAGACTGACAGCAGCGAGGTCACTGCTCTGTTCATGGTACACACACACACACACACACACACACACACACACCACACAGTCAAACACAACACACACACACACACACACACACACACACACCACACAGTCAAACACAAACACACACACACACACACACACACCACACAGACACACAAACACGCACACACACACACACACACACACACACACACACACACACACACACACACACACACACTTCCTCTGTAAAGTGGGGTTAAAGCTGCCTGTTCTCTGGTCCACAGTTTGATGTTTAATGAGATCTGTGATCGTTTGTTTGCTTCTGGTCGGCGTGATCTCTGATATCAACAACGTCATGGAGACCAAATGTCACATTGACCAAATCGACACGCCGGAGCAGCAGGATGCAGCTTTCACACATTTATCTTTTTTGTTCATTTATGTCTAGACTCAGATCTTCATGAACACTGACGCTCTGAATGATGATATAGATCAAAGTGATTTTCATCATGTGTGTGTGTGGGGGGGGGGGGGGGGGTGAGGCCTCTCTTTAAGCACACTGAGAGCTTCCTGTGTAAACTCAGGCCTGGCTGAAGTTTGACCTCACCCACAGAGTGACCCAACAGGAAACACAAATGAGTCTGTGAACATAAAACAGTCGCTTCTTCCCCATCAGCACTCTTTGTCTTTATCCCGTTTGAGCGACCCCTAGTGGCAGTTTGTCCACACAGAACCTCTACAGTCCAACGTCTGATTCATGATGTCATAAAAACATGTTTCTCTTATTAAACTGGATTTCTGTTTGCAGGAGCTCTCCGCTCATCTCATCGCCATCGACAGCGAAGAAAGCATCTTTTTACTCACCTTCAAAACATTCGAGGAAATATGGAAGTTCACCACGTATTACACCATAGGTAGGTGTGGCCCCCCTGTCACGTCTTCCAATGGTAACCATACCGCCACGTGTCTGTTCTGATGGTTAACCATACCGTCACGTGTCTGTTCTGATGGTTAACCATACCGTCACGTGTCTGTTCTGATGGTTAACCATACCGTCATGTGTCTGTTCTGATGGTTAACCATACCGTCACATGTCTGTTCTGATGGTTAACCTGTTTGTCGTCATCTCCTGCAGGCTTCCTGGGTCTCTGTCTGGAGAACCTGCTGTTGGAGCAGAAGTTCTGGCTCCGTTCTCTGGAGGACGACGTCTCAGTCGAGGTTTCTGTTGAGGAGGAAACTCTGAACCTGATGTACAGAGGGATCCTCATGCAGGAGGGTACGCCACCTTCAGGCAGTGCAGAGTCTCTGCACCTCAAATTAAAGCTGTGATTTATGTGTTTGGTAACTGCTGATCACCTTGTGCTTACAGTAATACCAACTTAAAACCAAACAATCAGTGTCCTTAAAACATCAACCACGTTATTATAAAGAGGCGTTTCAATCCTAACTTCTGTTTCTCATGTATATGATGTTAAAAACGGAATAAAACATCACACGTAGTAAAACCATAATTAAATGATTGTGCATTCTTTCTTTTAAGTCTCTCTCTGTCCTCAGGTTCTCTGTTTGCCAGCTGCAGCACCAACCAGATGTTTGACAGCTCCACCTCTGGAGGGGACCTGTACCTGGAGCAGGGGGACATAGCCCAGTTTGAGCCCCCGTTCTTAGGCTCAGGCTGGACCGTCCTCTGCCTGTCTGACGGATCCAGAGGGACCGCCCCCAGGCCTGCTCTGGAGCCGGTCAGCCCGTTCCACCAGTGAGTCCAAACCCATGGGGGGTTGGGATTGGGTTAAATTAGGGTTAAAGGTTCTGTGAGCGTACAGGAGGTGTGATACTCTGTGGTCACCTGGTCCGTCAATCTGTCCTCAGGTGGTTCCTGAAGTCAGCTGCAGAGAACATCCTGGTGGGTGATGGGAAACCTGGCTGTGACTTCCCCCTGCAGTTTGGTGAGAACACAAATGTCATAAATAAAAACTTTAGAATCAGAGTTTAGTTCAAGATCCAGTTATAAATCGATATCACGGATTGTATGAAACATAAACGTAGTCTAAGTGACGTCATCATTGGTTTGTGAAGAGGAGTAATGAAGCCCATCAAAAGCGGTCGCCATGTTGGAAATATGGACTCTCTAACTTTAATCTAGAAAATGACAAAGACATGGAGCGGAGGCAGGGCAGGGCTTAAGACTCCTGACAAACACACAACACACCCACCTGTCAGTCAGAGAGACCACGCCCCTAATTAATCAGATCTCTTTCCTCTGTTCAGCCGGGGGAACTTGTGAGGCCACAGAGGAGTACGATGCTGAGGGTCCCGATGAGCTAAGCTTGGCGCCTGGTGATCGCATCATCATCGTGGGACTCCTGGTGTCGTGTTTTGATTGGTTCACTGGGAGGAAGGAGGTCACAGGAGAAGTAGGCCTGGTTAAGACGAGTGTGGTGAAACCTTCAGACGACATCTATGAGTGAGTGAACCCACTTTGTGAACTATTTTAACACACATGGAGTCATTTTACAGTAAAGTGTTTCTGTTCCAGGTCAATAGATATTTTATTAACCGGAGAGGACAGGCCGTTTTTCAGTCTGAGCGAGGACAGAGTCATAGAGGAGACATCGACCTTCCTGAAGAAGAGGTCTCATCATGACACTGGACTCAACTACAAACTGGGTGAGACTGAGAGTGTGCTTCTGCTCACACTGACTCGTACAGAGTGTAGAACATGTTGTTGACTTGGATCAGTGTGGTGGAGCTGCACATGTTAACATTGTTGTGTTTCACGGCCTTTTTGTTAATTGTTGATCTAGCCGAGTGTTTTTGTGACCTTTGTATTTATTTTCAGACACGATTGATCCCAAAGACTCAGAGAAGAAATCATCGAGTAAGTATATCCATCTTATAGTCACTTGATGTTTTATATCTCTGTATCTCTTTTTCTCTGTATTTAAAAAACCTGTCTTTCTTTTATAGTCGGCTCTTCTCGCTGCGTTGATCCAGATCAGACAGACCTGAAGAGAAACATTCAAAGGATTCTTGAACAGGAGAAAGATTCGTCACCAGAGTGCAGCGCTGTGACCATGAACGGTACTCTGGAGGACCCAGTTGTTTCTTCAGAGGTTAAAAAGCCAACTCTCCCCTGTTTCACTGCTCCCCGGTGGTAGAAGGGAACAACAACACGGAGAGCTTCGTTCCCTCTTCTCTTGTCTGGAGAGCCAGGACTACAGAGCAGAGTTTGGCGTCCTGTACGGACTGAGTTCTGAGGCCATCGTCTCTTCCGCCTTCTCAGGTCACTCTGGCGAGGCAGAGCTGATGGCTTTCCTCGGCGCTGCGAGAGAAACAGCCAGGAAGAAGCGACTGTTTTGGTCACAGACTCGTTTGTGTTTCCTGTTGGGTAAGCTCTGTGCTGGGAGGTCAAAGTTCAGCCAAGCCCGGGTTTACTTCGAGGAAGCTCTAGGCGTGCCGCGAGAAGGCTTCACAGACCTCAGGCTGCTGGCAAGCATTTATTCCAACCTGGCAGCCATTTACCTCCTACAGAACAACTCGCAGAGCTTCTTCGCTGTGACCGAGAGACTGGTGGCTCTGCTGTTGGGAGTGTCAGACTGTTTGGAGAGCTTAGAAGACGACTCTGCTCTGAAGTACATGTTGAAGAAAGCTGTTCTCTCGCACAACACAAAGGCAGAGGCTCGGGCATGTCATCTTTTGGCAAGGCACCACTGGACTCAATCTGAGGAGTTCAGGTGGTTCCTTACCTGGAGAGACTTTTAGTTCTTGGTGCTGAGGCTCAGGCTCAGGGAACATGGAGCATCTCTCCAGTCATAGCTACCTGACCCTGGGGAGGCTCTACAGCCAGCTCAGACTCCCCCACCTCTCCATCAGTTCAGCCAGGATAACGTCTGTGCAGCCCTCTGCGACGCTCACAGACTGTCTGAGCAGCATGTTGCTGGCGTTAGACAACATCAACAGACTGTGTAACAGCACAGAACAGGAAACATCCATCCCCACTCAGGTGGCTCCATATTTACACCAAGCACTCACCTCCACCAGAGTCCTACAACCAGGAAGTGAGCAGCACTATGTCCTCATCCATCAGCTCACTGTCTGTCTCTGTCAGCTCTTCTGCAAGCACAGGATGGTCGGACACGCCATCCACCACATGCACACCCTCATTAACAACAGGCAGCTCCTATCCTCAGCCCCAGAGAGAAACATCACCCTCATCCGGCTTGCATGGCTCCACATCAACAACAACCAGCCACAGGTGGCCTTGGAAATCCTGGACCTGCTGCTAGACTCCATGCCAGAGCACTGCACGACCCCTCAGGAAGGTACATGCATGTTTGTTTGTTTTTTGCCTTTATTGTAGAGCTAGGAGAGTGGACAGTGTCAGAAATCAGGTAGAGAGAGAGTGGGGAACGACATGCCGGAAATGTCGGATCCGAACCCGGGTCTCGCCCGCCTGGAGGAGGTGTTTGGGGTTGTTTTTCTTTTCTTTTGGCCTTTGTGTTTGCAGTTGATCAGCCAGTCCTTGTCAGGGAATAATCCCGCCAAACATAAGGCAGTTACATTACTGTTAACATCGGTGTCTGACGTTACATACAGGTGTGGTCCTGAACCTGAGAGGCGTGGCACTGAGATGCATGGGGGACCTCCGGAGGGCTGCAGAGAGCTATGAGGCTGCTGTGGACATTTGCCAGGAGTATGAGGACATGGCAAACTGGGCCGTGGCTCAGGCTAACCTGGGTGAGGTGATAAATGATTCATTTGTAGTAAAAGACAGGGTGCAATAGCTGAGTCATGCTAACAGAGACCCGTGGTCCTTCCTCCTGCAGGGCTGCTGAGTCTGAGGGGCGGAGCTAAGCGGCTCGCTCAGTCACACCTGGTGGAGGCCGTGCAGCTCTTCTCGGAGCTTGATGATGAAGGTCATGAGGAGAACTTCATCAGTGTGCTGCTGGAGCTGGGACAGCTCTATGTGAGGCAGCAGCAAATGGATTATGGGAAAGGGTGCTACGAGTGGGCTCTGCTGCTAGCTATCAAGGCTAACCTGTTAGCCTGTAGGTACACACCTAGCTCACACACACACACACACACTGTATTACTTTTTCTTTACCTTTATATCTAACTGTAAACAATGCCTTTGGAGGAGTAAAACATTTTACACAATATCAGATTTTATATTGTGATTAAGACACCAGGTTTAAATGGAAGGATACCTCTTTTCATAGCACAGACACCATTCTCTCTGTTCAGCACACAGTCTGAGGTGCATTGAGAGCAACCACCCTCACAATTTCTGCAGGAGTTGTCTAGTTCTATTCATTATTGTGTTCTAATACCTGTGATCACCAGGTCAGCTGACTGCCACCACACACCTGATCCGTCTGTACTGCTCTGAGAGTCAAGACCAGGTCCAGTGTCTGATCTACAGCCAGCACCAGGTCCACCTGCTGAGACGCAGCGGGGACAGAGGAGAGGAAGGGGGCGCTCTGGTGGCTGTGAGCAGACTCTACCTGAGCCTGGGAACAGACAGGTGACATAACCTTCATTCTCCATCAAACTTTGACCCTTTAGAGCGTGGAGTCCTTTATAAACCTGATATCAAAAAGGAACCAATAACTTCAAGGTCTTCATGTTGTGACTCATCTCAGAGAGCTTTGGGTCCTATCATCGACTGTCACATTCTGTGGCTGCTCAACTAACGTCGTGCTGTAGCTGTAAATAAGTCTGTTTAGTGGTTTTTTTGAGAGAGCGCTAAGAACAAACTAATCACATTATATAAAGGGATATACTGTATACACACAATATTCTTATTTCAAATGGACTTTATTAATCCCAGAGGAGGAAATACAAATAAACACTGGCCTAAAAAATGAAATAAAACTGTTTTTACTAAATGATCCTCTTTTCACGATAGCCCCGCACATTTCCTTTGATCTCTGTCATTCAAAGATTAGCACTACCCCACATAGACCTGAATTACAGTCTGCACAAACACGAACCTGTGGACCTGCATTATGACGACATGTTTCAGACGTAGCACACATCTCATCAGTTTAATGAGCTGCAGTTATTCAGAACCAGGAACAAACAAAGTTCTGAGCTGGAGGATTAGCAGGTCATCCGTGTTCTGGATGTTTCAGGGCATACCGGGCCGCTCTGGACCACACAAAGACCAGTCTGGGTATTTTCATCGACCTGGGCTGCAGGGAGAAGGAGGCATTGGGCTGGCTGCAGGCTGGAAACATCTACCACCTGCTGGAGCAGACGGAGCTGGTGGAGGTGTACGTGCAGGTGAGACAGCAGACAAACACACACACACACACACACACACACACACACACACACACACACACACACACACACACACACACACACACACACACACACACACACACACACACACACACACACACACACACACACACACACACACACACACACACACACACACACACAGACAGACAGACAGACAGACAGACAGACACACACACACACACACGCACACCTGTATGAGCGTTGTTGTTGTGCGTCAGGTGGGCAGTGTAATCAGGACAGCTTGTGTCTGTGTGTTCAGGTCGCTCAGGATGTCGCCCTGAGTTCAGGAGACACCGGGTTCATCCTGAAACTTCTTGAAGCTGCAGGCGACATTTTCTTCAACAGCAGCCGGGACAGAGACAAGGCCATCCCCTTCTACAGGGTACACACTCAGTGTAACACACAAACCTTCACTTCTCTCATTCCTGTACTCACCTGTGTGTGTGTGTGTGTGTGTGTGTGTGTGTGTGCAGGACCGAGCTCTGCCCATCGCCGTGAGGAGCAGCAGTGTGTCCTGCAGGCTGCGTCTGTGTAACAAGCTGTCTGAGCTGATGCTCAGTCTGCAGATGTTTGAAGAAGGCGTGGAGTTCGCTCAGACTGCCCTCGACATCAGCATCACTCTGGGTACACATACCTCCACACACAGACTGTCTGTAGGTGGTGCTGAAGGAGCGGTGAAACACATTTAAATATAGCGTTTACTCGCATCGTTGTTTTCCAGCTCGGCGTTATTAGCATGAGTTAGCGTCATGCTACAAATGACAGCTTCAGTGCTGATAATCCAGCCGCTCTCCCCTTTAAGGTTCCCAGCTGACCGGCTTCTCCTGTGGATCATTTACTGACTAATCATAAGCCCCTCCTACATGCACAGTTATTCACATTTACTCCTTTGATGAGTCCTCGGGTTCATTAGGAGATGTTGAGACGTGTCCCTGCCGTCAGGGCCAACGAGAAAGCTCACAGAGTAAATCTAAAGACATGTGGAGATGAACACATGACAGACATCGTGACAGTGTGACGCCATGCTAACGCTAACCCTAGCGGTCTTTGTCTCTGGACATACAGGTGACTGTCTGAACCAGCGCGTGGCGTACTACCGTCTGGCCTCACTCTACCACAGGCTGGACCAGTACGAACTGGCAGAACACCACTACTTGAAGACCCTGACCCTGTGTCCCACGCCCCTGCTGTTTGATGAGGAAACCCTGTACTATGTGAGGGTCTACCAGACGTTGGGAGACATCATCTTCTATGACCTCAAGGTGAGAGAGATAATACCGACGAGAATGTGGAGTTCATATCTGCTTCGGAAGGAATATCTAAACGATGATAATCCCTGTGTGTCACACTATGATCTAAAATCCTTTTTCATGTGGTCTCTGCAGGACCCGTTTGACGCTGCAGGTTATTACCACCTGGCTCTGGCTGCAGCCATGGACCTGGGAAACAAACGGGCTCAGCTGCAGCTGTGCACACGCCTCGCCACAATCTACCACAACTTCCTGATCGACCGCGAGCTCTCGCTCTTCTTCTACCAGAAGGCGCGAGCGTTCGCTGCAGAGCTAAACGTCAGGAGGGTGAACATCTCTCCTGATCAGCAGCAGTGCAGCAGCTCCGCCGCACAATGAGAACCAAACTCAGAGAGAGAAGAATCAGCATCCCCCTTTAATGTTCTATAAATGATAACGATGTATGGAATCTATGATTCAGTTTCATTTCATCCCACCCGTCTCATCATGTCGTCTTTTTCACTGATGATCATTAAACATTTAATTAATTGATGTTCACGCCGACCTCTGGAGTTCACAAACACATTCACTGATTATTATAATACGGGAGCCCTCAGAGGACAAACTACAAGTACATTTCTTCTCGAGAGAAGATGACGAGACCAACAAGTCAAGATCAAGAGAAGATTTCTGAAATGTACTCGGTTTAGGGCGAGGATGAATTTGAGTAAACTAAAATGAATGTCTGCTTAAGGCTTCCGTATGTTAGAGAAAATAAACCTTGAAGAAAGTTCATGTTCATGTTAAAGTTTTAAATATAAGAATGTCCTGATCATGTGACCACGTTTATACTCGTGTTATTATGAAGCACGCCATGCAGGAGGCGTGTCCTGTTTAAACACTGAGCAGGTTTATGAATGAACATCAGGGTGTCGTCTGCGTAAAGCTTTATCTTCTGTGTTCAGGTACTTCAGCTGACGCTCTGCAACGGTTCTGTGACTCTAACCAATAAAAAGATTGAATTAATTTAATGTTCTTTATGTCTTACATCATACGACTCCAGACTCAGTCATCTGTAACCATCATTAGAGGAAGTTTAGACGTGGGGAATTTAATGGTCAGAAGTCGTCTTGTGACGTGTTGAAGGCACAGCAGGAAGGAAGGATGTAAACACCCCAATAACACGATGATGTCATCAGATAACACAATGATATCATCAGATCACACGATGTCATCAGATAACATCATCAGATAACACAATGTCATCAGATCACACAATGTCGTCAGATAATGTCGTCAGATAACACAATGATGTCATCAGATCACACAATGATGTCATCAGATCACACGATGATGTCATCAGATAACATGATGATGGTCTTATGTTGGTCCTGGTCTCATGTTGGTCCTGGTCTCATGTTGGTCCTGGTCTCATGTTGGTCATAGTCTCATGTTGGTCCTGGTCTCATGTTGGTCATGGTCTCATGTTGGTCCTGGTCTAATGTTGGTCCTGGTCTCATGTTGGTCCTGGTATAATTTTGGTCCTGGTCTAATGTTGGTCCTGGTCTCATGTTGGTCCTGGTGTCTTGTTAGTCCTGGTCTCATGTTGGTCCTGGTCTAATGTTGGTCCTGGTCTCATGGTGCCCGAGAGTGTTTGTTGAATCAGAGTATAAATTTGATTTAAACACTTTGCTCGGAGACTTTATCTGATTATTAAAACGCGACACACTGAAACATCAGCACACACGCCGTGTTTGAGTGTGTTCAGTATATTTAGGATTGTAGTTCCTGGTTCTTGTGGGAGGAGTTTCATCAAAGGTGGAGATTTAGGAACATGAGATTAGAGCTGACAGTGTTGTTGTCCTCTACCCTGTGGTTCCTGTTATAACCACTGGGTGGCGCCACAGTAGGTTAAATGAACGAACATATGAAGTTTATGAAGAGGGAGACATGTTTGAATTATAACAGAACATCAAAAACACAGACAACAGAAACATGAAGAATGAAGTTTAAATTAATATAAATAAATAAAATAAGGTTTAAATGACGAGACTGAACTGTCCTCAGATCACCTGCAGGAGGAGCTGAGGTCAGCATCAGACCTCCCCTCTCCCCCTCATCCCTCAGTCCTCCTCCTTTCCTCTCTCCCGCACCCTCTCTCCTTCTCTCTCTCTCTCTCCTCCCCCCTCCCTCCCTCTTTCCCTTTCTCTACTCTCTCCTCCTCTTTATTCAGTGATTCTCAGACTCTGAGCTGAGAGGTTCTCTGTTCGTGTTCGGACGTTTGGATCTTTTTTCGTTTTCTGTGTGATGAAGGACAGTCCTGTCTCACCTGCCTGTCTCACTGACGTGTATCAACTGACGTGTCTCACCTGACGTGTCTCACAGGTGTGTGTGACGTGCAGCCTGCAAACCCCGTTGATCAGGAGGATTCCTATGAAATGATCTGAGCTTCTCGCTTCTTGTGAACATGCAGCTCCTCATCCTCCTCTTCACCTCCGCGCTCCTCTTCCTCACACAATCCGCACGCGCTGAGCCCAAACCCAAATGTCCGACCCGCTGTGACGTCAGCACCTGTCCGAGTCCCAGCTGTCCCAGCGGCTACGTGCCGGACAGGTGTAACTGTTGCGTGGTGTGCGCGCGGGCGGAGGGCGAGCCGTGCGGCCGCAAGGAGGAACTGCCGTGCGGGGACGGTCTGGAGTGCAAACACCCGGCGGGGAAACGGATCGGGAAAGGCTTCTGTCAGTGCAGGTACAGCAGCCAGGTGTGCGGCAGTGACGGCATCACTTACAGGAACGTGTGTCATCTGAAGGCCACCAGCAGAAAGAACCAGCAGCAGGGTCTGGACGGGGTCTCCCAGAGCCACAAGGGTCCGTGTGAGAGCAGCACAGGTATGATCTCACACAGGTTTATTTCTTTAGAAACAAGGTGAGCAGGATGCCTGGTCTATGGAGTCTCAGGAAGGTCATAAAACATGTGTGGAAGGTTCACACAGTAAGAATATGAGACGTGTGTGTATTTATTTATTTTTATTGACAGATGCATGACGTCACAGCCGACAGGGTCTGTGGTCAGAACCTGAAACTGGATCATGTCAGTCACAGTCTTCATCAGTTCACAACAATAATATAAGTTACATGACCCTGAACTTTAATAATCATCAGACTGAAATATAAACATTTGAATCAGTGTGTGTCTGTGTGTGTGTTAGTGTGTGTGTGTGTGTGTGTGTGTGTGTGTGTTTCCTGCAGATCTCAGATTGACTCGTGTGTAAAGCGATTAAGAGGATTTTATGAAGCATGAAGGTTCCAGATGTAAAAGCAGGTTCAGCGTGTGTGTGTGTGTGTGTGCGTGTGTGCGTGCGTGTGTGCGTGTGCGTGTGTGTGTGTGTGTGTGTGTGCGCGTGTGTGTGCGCGTGTCAGATTATTTATGTTACACACCTTCATGCTGAGCTGCAGATGTGCTGTATCAGGTGTTCATTCAGCTCAGCTCTGCACATGCTCAGTTCATCCTCTGAATCTTTCTGTTACAAGTTATATTTGAGCTAAACATGAATAAATAAAAAGTATCTTAATATAAACTAGTTATTTTGCTGCTCACACACTCACAAATACACACAGACAGACACACAGACAGACAGATACACACATACACGCACAGACACACACACATCCCTAAGACAGATCTCTATAGAGGAAACAGGAAGTCCCTATACACCACACACTATTTACATCTCCTTTGATCTTTAACCCATTATTTAGTCTGGGTTTACACACACACACACACACACACACACACACACACACACACACACACATTGGGTCAGTGGAGCAAACATCCTCACAGGCGTGGTCTCAGTTATAGATAAACGGCTGACTGAGCAGAAAGTTTAAACTCCATCATCAGTTAAAGGTCATCGTCCATCTCTGAAGGTTTGGACTGAAAAATGAGAGTTTAAGGAAAAGTACACTCAAAGAAAAAAGTTCAGTAACTAGAATAAGTTCATATCTCCATCCTGCTCTCCCTCTTTCTACTCGTCTCTGAGTCTAACTCTAAAAGCTCTGATAATCTTCAGACTAAAACACAGTTAGCTCTTGTTTAATGTGTTAATGTGAAGAGAAGCTATCTGCAGCTTTACTCTGCACAGAGCTGCACTCACTCTCACACTGATGGAGCTGCACTCTCACACTGACGGAGCTGCACTCTCACACTGATGGAGCTGCACTCTCACTGACGGAGCTGCACTCTCACTCACACTGATGGAGCTGCACTCTCACACTGACGGAGCTGCACTCACTCTCACGCTGACGGAGCTGCACTCTCACACTGACGGAGCTGCACTCTCACGCTGACACGAGCTGCACTCTCACACTGATGGAGCTGCACTCACTCTCACGCTGACGGAGCTGCACTCACTCTCACGCTGACGGAGCTGCACTCACTCTCACACTGACGGAGCTGCACTCACTCTCACGCTGACGGAGCTGCACTCACTCTCACACTGACGGAGCTGCACTCTCACACTGACGGAGCTGCACTCTCACACTGATGGAGCTGCACTCTCACGCTGACGGACTGATTTAACCCCTGGTTGTATTAATAATAATCATGTCGGAGTCATATTTACAGACTTTATTTACAGAGCTTTTATTTTGGAGGCCCACAGAGGTGGAAGTGTTTTCCTGATCACTGGAAAGTTTGAGCGTCACATCTCTTATAAATCATGCATCGCAGTTACCGCCAACTCTCAGCAGACGCTTGTTTCTTCACTCTAACTGTGCGTGGCGGTTAGCGCCCCCTGTCTGTGAGTTAGACTCTTTTTACAGTGAGGCTGATTCACTGAGAAAGATGGTTGAAATGACTTGATCAGTAATAAATCGTCTGAAAATGTTTTAATGAGTGAAGGTGAATCCTTCAGGTCGAACACCAGACTTATGTGTTATATGTTCCAGGTCCTCCACACTCTTCCAGTCCAAGATACAAGTTCAACTTCATCGCAGACGTGGTGGAAAAAATCGCACCTGCTGTGGTCCACATTGAACTCTTCCTCAGGTACACAGAGTGTGTGTGTGTGTGCGTGTGCGCGTGTGCACGTGTGTGCGCGTGTGTGCGTGTGCTGCCTGTGATCGTCCTTCCTCTCTTGATGTTTTCAGACACCCTCTCTTTGGGAGGACTATCCCTCTGTCCAGCGGTTCAGGCTTTGTGATGTCAGAGAACGGACTGATCGTGACCAATGCTCACGTCGTCTCCAGCACATCACCTGTGTCCGGTCAGCAGCACCTGAAGGTACACTTACCGTTAGTCCTTTACTTTTTTTATATTCAAATTAAATGTTGTATCATCCTCTAATCTTTGATCCATCTCTGAACTGAAGGTCCAGATGCACAACGGAGACATATACGAAGCCAAAATCAAAGACATCGACAAAAAGTCAGACATTGCTACAATCAAGGTCAACTCTCAGGTGAGTCCTCAGGTCTGTCCCGGTCACCTGAACATGTGAGTACATGTGCAGTCCTGCAGAGGACCGTAGAACATGTGAGAACCTGTGTAGTCCTGTAGAGGACCGTAGAACATGTGAGAACCTGTGTAGTCCTGTAGAGGACGGTAGAACATGTGAGTAGATGTGAGAACCTGTAGAGGACCGTAGAACATGTGAGTACATGTGTAGTCTGCCTAAAGTTCTGTCTCAGGTTGGTCTCAGTAAATTACAAAGAGTATGCTTGAATGATGATCTGGTCCCACAGACGTTTTATTCTTCATGTTCTGCATAGTTTACCTGGTCCAGGGTGAAACTCTGGTATTGAACCCTGTCCAGGATGAAACTCTGGTCTTGAACCCTGTCCAGGGTGAAACTCTGGTCTTGAACCCTGTCCAGTATCAAACTCTGGTCTTGAACCCTGTCCAGGATAAATCTCTGGTCTTGAACCCTGTCCAGTATCAAACTCTGGGGCTTTAGCACTGTTGAAAGTGAAAACATGGCGATGTGGACTCGGTCTTGGTGTGACGGGTCAGATAAGTTCTCGCTCGTCCATCCACAGGCAATGTAAAAGTAAACAAACAGAGAGGGAGAACTGTTTCATGGCATGCAGCTGCAAACCTGGAACAGATGTGCATGAGACCAACATCTGGTGAGAGAAACCAAACAGTACTGTACAGTGAAACCCCAGAACCAGGTATTTGTTGTCCCAGTGAGCCGAGGCAGGCTCAGACTCACATCCTAATGTTTTTGTTGTGAATCATCTTTTAGTTTTTCCACACCTCGCTGCGTTCCTGTCACAACAGTTCGAGGCTCATGGAGGTCATTGACCTCATATTTATGGTTCTGCTGTTAAAGCGTCCATCTTTGAACCGCTCCCCGGGGGATGGCGTGTTCCTCTTCATGGTGTGTGTGCTTCATGCCAACAGTGTGCATAGCTAACTTGCTGCTCGTCCATGTGTGTGAAACATGTTGGTCTGATGAGGGTTAACGTTCAGTACACAAATGTTGACAACATATTTGCACAATTTAGACAACGTGCAGGAACTGATGGTTCACTGATGTGCTCCCAGTGTGGGGGAGTCCAAACCACCCCGGGGGGAACACCAAATACTTCCTCATTGGTCCACAGCCAACCCCCTCTCAGGGTCCAGAGGACGATTACTCATGTGCTGCTCTGACGGCCTGTTGACTTACTGACTGATACTGGACCCGGTCTGTTAACCAGGCCTTACTGGTTAAGGTGTTCGGGTGATCCTCCTCCCAGTGTTCCTCCTCCAAATATTCTAGGTGTTCCTCCTCCAGGTGTTCCAGGTGTTCCTCCTCCATGTGTTCCAGGTGTTCCTTCTCCAGGTGTTCCAGGTGTTCCTCCTCCAGGTGTTCCTGTTTGTGTATCTGTGTAACACCTGTTTCTGCACTGAGGCCGTCAGTGACACTCCTCGTCTGTACTGGAGGCGGTGTTACAGAGTCGGTTTTATTTGATGAGTTCATCAGATGGATTTTCGTGCATTTTCTTATATTTCTTCTAAAGTCACCCGAGAGGCCGACCTGGGGACTTTCTGTGGAAACAGGCTAGTGTTTTTGTAGAGATAAGGACGGCACAGGGCGGGTCCTTTAATAACATCTTAAAGTAATAATACGAGCTGGAGCTCAAAGTGACCGCAGGCTGACGTCTCCACATCACAGCTGGACCAAGACCAGGACCAGGACAGGGAGGAGAGAGACCAGATCCAGATCACTCCTCCTTAAAGAAAACGTGAACACAGCATTTTGAGCTCATTCCTGGTGTCAGCGTCACCCCATCAGTCCATCAACATGTGTTTCTGCTCAGCCCCTCCTAAACTCCCTCAGTCTGACTGTGTAGACTCTCTCTCTCTCTCGCTCGCTCTCTCTCTCTCTCTCTCTCTCTCTCTGTAGTTTTGGAAGCTGTTGCTGGATCCAAATATTTGGTTTGTTTGTTCTGCAGTGGTTGACATCACCATCATCCTGCTGGGTTCTTTGTGTTGAAGGAGGAGGTTTTGAATCCCTCTCTTTGCTCCACTCATACGCCTCTTTGTAGCACTTTGATGGCTTTAGTGTGTCACACACTGAGCTCATGGATGAAACCGTTTCTGCAGAAGTCACTGTTATTTAGAGCACTACGTCTGAACCTCTGGTTTACTTCACTTTGGGTGTGGGTCAGATACTCGGGCGTAGCAGCAGCTGCACAGAAATTAAACCATTGTTTTAACTGCTAATATTTCTTCACTTTGGCTTTAAATGCTCAAAGATGAGCAAGTCACTGATGCTGTAGTGTAAACAGGAAGTAGTCGAATAGAAGCCTCTAGAGGTGTCCTCCAGCAACACATGCAGAGTCAATTATGGTTGGCTGGTTTTGTCCACCAAAAAGGGTTGAAGAGAAGGTTTATCTCCAGCCTTAATGGTTTCTCAAACATCCTCCTCCAACGTTCTGTCCTCTTGTCCTCCTCAGAACAAGCTGCCTGTCCTGCTCCTGGGTCACAGTGCAGACCTGAGGCCGGGGGAGTTCGTGGTTGCCATCGGCAGCCCGTTCGCCCTGCAGAACACCGTCACCACAGGCATCGTCAGCACGGCTCAGAGGGACGGGAAGGAGCTGGGCCTCAGGGACTCGGATATGGACTACATCCAGACCGACGCCATCATCAATGTGAGAATGAAGCTTTATGTCGTCGAGTTGAAACAACCAGAGAAATAGGTTTTACTCAGTTTAAACTGTGAGGACATCAAACGAATGAGTGTTTGTATCTTTATGTGTTCTTTGCAGTACGGGAACTCAGGAGGACCTCTCGTCAATTTGGTAAGAACTTTTATTTCCCTGCGCTGTAGTTTCTGTGACTTCTGTAAACTATCTCTTTCTGCTGGTGTTGTTAACCCTTCTCCCTAACCCTGTCTGTGTTTGAGGATGGGGAGGTGATCGGCATCAACACCCTGAAGGTGGCAGCAGGGATCTCTTTTGCCATCCCCTCAGACAGGATCACCCGTTTCCTCAACGAATCAGTGGACAAACCCAACAAAGGTGAGTCTGACTGTAACATCACATCTGTAACATCACATCTGTGACTTCACATCTGTAACATCACATCTGTGACGAACCTTGAACTCTGTTTCAGATGTGAGGTCGGTAAAGAAGCGCTTCGTTGGAATCCGGATGCTGACCATCACACCAGCGTAAGTCTGAACTTGTGTTTGGTAGAAAATAGAGAATGATTAATCTGACGTCTGTGATTTTATAATAAGCTGTTTTAAGTATTGAACAAGCTCTTCAGAGTTTATTTAAACCATGTATCCTGTTTAAAGGCTATTTAAGGTGTATGAGGAGTCCCACAGGGATCTATGTTGGATTCTCTTCTTTTCACATTGTGTCTGCACCAAACATTAATTTATTTATGAAAGCCTTAATTAGACATGCATCCATACAAATAAAACTATCCAGTTCCCCTGAGATACAGAGTAACCCTTCATCACCAGAAAAAAACAGCTACAGTCTCTGGTAGTATCGACTAGCTTAGAAATAAGTTGACATTTTGAGAAAATATTGATGCCTAGGGCGTCTTTCCGCTTGCTCTCACATCTCAGACTTTTGGGAAAATTTCCAAAAGTTTTTATGTATTCTTTAAGAAAGCTATACAGCAATGAAGAAACATTCAGATCCAGATCAAAGAGGACAGGTGCTGAGGTGAGAGGCATTCACTGAAAACAAAGAAATGACTTTGTATTTTACAGGTTAATTGAGGAGCTCAAACAGCAGAACTCAGACTTTCCTAATGTGACCAGCGGGATCTACGTCCATGAAGTTGTTCCTTACTCACCTGCAGACAAGTAAGCTTCATTCATTCCTTCACAAACAGCCAAATACAGTTCTGTCACTGTCTTTTTAAATAAAGACTATTGTGTTCCCATATCAGACATTCTGTCTTTGTCCCCAGAGGTGGAATCAAAGACGGTGACATCATTGTGAAACTGAATGGCAAACCTATGATGACCACAGCCGACCTGCAGGGGGCGCTGCAGGAGGAGTCTGCCCTGCTGCTGGAGGTCAGGAGGGGCAACGATGATCTCCTATTTAACATAGAGCCTGATGTAATAATGCAGTAAAGATGGCGGTTCACCTGCAGGGCAAGGAGAACGTCCCAGACTGTTCCTAAACCACTAAACACTATTTAAACATGTCACAGAGTGGAAACATTACACTGGTGTGAAGTAGTGTTCGAACAGTGCACACAGCTCCAGACACCGTGCACCTGGCTGTTACCTGTATATGTCTCTGACCAGGGCAACGCTGGAACAATTCCTCACATGGACCTCACCTTGAATCCAAAGCCTGTCAGTGACTGTTTGACTTGAAATATATTTTTCTCCTGTAGACACGTTCACTAAACACGTTCATGATCTGAATATGACGCCTTTTTATTACACACGGCGATGATAAATTCCCTTTGAGGGACAGCTGTGACTCAGTGGTAGAGTTGGTCGTTTCTCAACCATCCAATATCGGGGATTCGATCCCTAGCTGATGCAGCCATCAGTGTGTGAATGTGTATAACTGTGGATGAGTTAATACTGATGGACTCTTTACACAGCAGCCTCTACCATCAGTGTGTGAATGTGTATGAATGGATGAATTAATACTGATGGACTCTTTACACAGCAGCCTCTACCATCAGTGTCTGAATGTGTACGAATGGATGAGTTAATACTGATGGACTCTTTACACAGCAGCCTCTACCATCAGTGTGTGAATGTGTATGAGTGAATGAGTTAATACTGATGGACTCTTTACTCAGCAGCCTCTACCATCAGTGTGTGAATGTGTGTGAGTGGATGAGTTAATACTGATGGACTCTTTACTCAGCAGCCTCTACCATCAGTGTGTGAATGGATGAGTTAATACTGACTCACCGTGTGAGCGACGTCCAGCCTGTCAGACACGGACTGATGGATGGTCCTTCATGTCCACAGCTTGAGTCTGCTCTGTGGTTTTACATCATGATGTGGAGGGACATGTCCAGCATGTGTGAACTTGTTGTAGGTTCATATTTATATGAAGCTCTTGATATTTTTCTGTGTATTATCCACATGTCATGCTGTATTTGTTCATGATTGCTGATCTGTGGACACTGATTGGCTCTTGGACTCAGTGAACATTATAATGCACACAATGACTGAGTTTGTTTCTTCATGTCTGTTCTCTGTTACTGACTCTAAGGAGGATCTTTGTAACGTCCTGCTCATGCTCATCCTCCTGCTGTCTGTGGTTAATGCTCGATGTGACTCTTTAGTGTTACAAGATGTTTTTCTAGAACTCATCGTGAACCACATGTGTGCTGTAAGAGTGTTTTTCCTGCTGCTCTGCTTTCTAACTGTTGGAGCTTTGAAGTGAACATACTTGTTTACATGGAAGCACCTCTGCAGCATCCTGTGGACAAAAGCTTTTACACCAAATAAACTTTGATTGATTGCAGCTGTTCTGGAATAAAAGGATTCACCGATGTGCCACATTTGCTCCCCTTTAAATGTAGGTCACAGGCAAAGGCTCATGGGAAACAGCAGAATAATACCTGAAAGTGTGGAAACTGGGCCAGCTCTCCTCATAAACAGTCCTGAGTGGAAACAAGTCTCCGAGCAGGAATGTGGAGGGAAACACACACACACACACACACACACACACACACACACACACACACACACACACACACACACACACACACACACACACACACACACACACACACACACAGAGGAAACAGTTTGAGGTTCAGTGAGAAAGTGGCCGCAGACAGACGCTGACGCTTTCTTTCCTTCAGCTCTTCACAGGTCAACAGTTTATTTAAAAGCTTTCACTGTTTAGTCTGAAACAGAAATATTCTCTGCTTCCTGTGGTTCTCACACTGTTTATGAATCTACACCCAGGATCATGTTAGTGAAAAACCATCACAAGGACCCACGTGCAGAAAATAAAACTCACTTATTCAACAAACAGTCCAAAAAACAAGAAACAACTTTTTTTACAAGAAACAGCTCTCTGTAATTTTATAATTTGATCCTGCTCAGAATGACTCTGGACTCTCATTGGCTCATCTTCTCTTCAGGTTTGTTCTCTCACCTGTAGCCCGTTAGCTTTGTCCTGATGACAAAATGATTAATTGTTGTGTTTTTTTTCTTTTTGGGCGTTTGTGTTCACACTGATACACACACACACACGGACACGGACACACAGATTTATGACTGACCTATATTCTGCACAGACTCATGGAGGAAACAGGAACAAAGCCGGAGAGAGAGCAGGAACATTTTGAGAAATGGATTCAGTCTGTTAACTGTGTGTTAACAGACCCCTGCTCTGATATGAACAAACACACCTCTTTATTCTACATGAATTTAATAACCATTCACCCATCAGGCTCAGAAACAGCTCTGGAAACAAGAGAATTTAAAAAGACTCTTCTGGAAAGTCAGAAGCCTTCATTCGATAGGGTAAGATTCAAAGACAGATCCTAACCCAATGGGGATACAAGCGCAGGTTTGACAGTCCGGGTTTGATACACTAAAAGGAGAAGACAAAGGCAGGCAAAGTCAAACACCACAAAACCAGTGAGAACGCGAGGACGGAGCGACTGTAGTGAACACAACGAACTGACAACAAGAGGGAGGACACACAGAGACTTAACGCTCAGAGTGACACTTGGGGTAACGAGACGCAGGTGAGGACACTCAGGGGGTAATGGAACGGTAAATGGACTTGAGCTTATATAGCGCTTTTCTAGTCTTCTGACTACTTACAGTGCTTTTACACCACATGTCACACCCACCCTTTCACACACTGATGGTAGTGATCGCTATGTAGTATCATCCATCAGAAGTAACTAATCCCATTCACACACCACCACTGTAGCAGCGGGTGCAATTTAGGGTTAAGTGTCTTGCCCAAGGACACATCGGATATGTTGCTTAGCTGGGGATTGAACACTCGACCTTCTGGTTGAGAGGCGATGACTCTACCAACTGACGCCCTTGGGGTAAGGAGACGCAGGCGAGGACACTCAGGGGATAAGGAGACGCAGGCGAGGATACTCAGGGGATAAGGAGGTGAGGGTGGGGCTGAAACACAAGGCGGGAAAATATGGAAATCGAATATACCATCGATGGCCTTGTCATCCAATGAACCGGTGAACAGGTCAGAATGATATTATTAATAAGAAGGAGAGCAGCGATCTCTGCAGAGGACGTTCCAGACGTTCTGTTGAGTTTAAAGAAAAAAAGAGTAATAACAGATGTGAAAGACTCCTTGAAGAGCGTCTGTAATTACAGAGAGAAGATCGGGTTTGGGTCTAAAGAGTCCAATTGGACCAGTAAGAGAGCTCAGCCTCTCTGTGGTCACGTCAAACTGTATATATATATATATATGTGTGTGTGTGTGTGTGTGTGTGTGTGTGTGTGTGTGTGCGGACTCTGAGCCTATGAATGTCACGTAGCATGAAATGAATGGGTGCTCCTTCATGATGACAGGCTGCACGTTTATATTTCTGTTTAAAGAACAGCTGATTCTGCTCAAATGTCAAACTCAAACCTGAACATGAAGCCAACGCAGAAACCCTCAAGAGGTGCACACACACACGCACGCAGAATGATGCTCTCACTACCTGTGCAGGTGAGATAATGAGTCAGCACAGAGAGAGACCACAGACTGTAAATTTGATTGAAGTCTGAGTGAGGTCACCCGTCTGTTCCTGCAGGGGGCGCTGGAGTCCCATTGATGGCGGTCTCCATGCTGGAAATGCTGTCTCAGTCTAACTTTCAGTCGACCTAACAACAGGCTGAGAGCTGGAGCTGAGGTGGGTTTTAAACCTCCTGACAAACCGTTACACCGCTCCCACCTGTCAATCAGGTCAGCTACACGCCTTATTGTGAATAACTCTTATCCTTCATCAAATCAAAACTGATGAGTCATCAAAACATTCACCCCCCCCGTACAGTGTGTGTCGATCGAGACATGAGCTAATCAGACCTATTTGGTTTTTTGAACCAGGCTGTAAACATGTTAATCTCTGCTGTAAAAACAGGCTTTTTTGAATGGGTGTGTATGTGACTTCCTGTGCTTCTGCAGCCAGCCTCTAGTGGACACTCGAGGAACTGCAGGATTTTAAATTTTTTAACAGGTTGCTGCTTCAGACAAACTGCGAAAATGTTTTTTTGTTTTTTTTAACCCACAATCCTCTCGTCCCCCTAAAGACAGGAAAACAAACCATCCTATAAAAACGCTCCTGAAGCTCCAGGTGAGCTCACACCTGGGTGTGAAACACAAAGAATCAACGACAATCATTTTAATTAGTAAAGTCATTTAATGTGAATTGATGATTGTTTCTGATAAAAGTCGAGTGCCTCCATGACACACACACTAAACGACACAGAGTCATTAAAGAGACGCCCGAGCTGAGAGCAGCCCGATGATGTCAGAGTGTGGAAACATCATCAGTCAGTGCGTTCTCATGACTTTAGAGCGCGCCTGCAGCTTTAAGGCACATATGTCTCTGTACATCAACAACAGATCATCATCAGTTAATCAGATATTACATCCCATAATGCATTTCAGTCAGCTGTCTGTTTGAGAGGGTCTGCTAAGCGACACCTCGAGGTCAGGGCTTGTAAAGGAGAGAGGCAGAGTTTAAGACGATGACACAAACAGCTGATGTGCTCTTCTTCGTGCTGTCTTAAGGCCACGCTCTGGATGTTAGCGTTAGCAGCTACAAGTCTGTCTGTTCATACAGGTCACAATGAATGGATCTGATTGGCACAGATTTCTCCTTCTGGAGAGACAAACAAACAAACAAACAAACAAACAGCTGGAAGTATCTGCAGAGTCATTAGTGATTCTAAAGGGGAACAGGACGTCACAGACGGGGAACAGGACGTCACAGACGGGGGACAGGACGTCACAGACGGGGGACAGGACGTCACAGACGGGGGACCTGGTTCTGGATGGTTCTTTTCACAGTTTGGGACGCAGAGAGCCGACGACAGGTTTGTCTGAGCAGAACTCTTTCCACCACGACGGTCTCTCCAGGACCTGAGAGCCCTGCATCACTGTGGACCACAGGTTGTTGTACAGCTGAGACACACACACACACACACACACACACACACACACACACACACACACACACACACACACACACACACACACACACACACACACACACACACACACACACACACACACACACACACACACACACACACCAGGCAGACACATGGGTGTTGATCTAAAGTTATTGAGAACATTCATGAACTGTCAAGCTGTCTGATTATTTTCTTGTTAAATCTTTTTATTAATGTTTAAAGTGTGTGTGTGTGTGTTTACCTGTCCGTCAGCGTTTCCTGCGGGTGAGTTCAGTATAAAATCAGGAGGAGCCAAAACATCGACCAACGCTACAGCATCATCCTTCAGCTACACAAACACAGATTTCAGATTAGACACAGGGCGAGCTCTGAGGGCGGCAGGAGCATAAATAAAGAGGGTAGGGTGAATTAAAGGGGGTTGGGGGGAGTCAGGGGGTCAGCTGGGTTAGGGGGGTCAGGGTCTTCCCCCAGTCGAAGTCTCCTGTCAGATATTAGAAACGATAAAGAATGTCAAAGTGAGCAATTACAGGATCTCTTTATGTTACAGTGTCTGTTGGTAATCAATGAGTGACAGGACGACTGGAGTCTTATTTATCTCCCAGTTATTAAAACGACGACCAACATCCCCAGGATCTTTGAAGGCTACAGACAGGTAGTCAGACAGGTACACAGACAGGTAGTCAGACAGGTAGACAGACAGGTAGGCAGACAGGTAGTCAGACAGGTACACAGACAGGTAGTCAGACAGGTAGACAGACAGGTAGACAGACAGGTAGTCAGACAGGTACACAGACAGGTAGTCAGACAGGTAGACAGACAGGTAGGCAGACAGGTAGTCAGACAGGTAGGCAGACAGGTAGGCAGACAGGTAGTCAGACAGGTAGGCAGACAGGTACACAGACAGGTAGTCAGACAGGTAGTCAGACAGGTAGGCAGACAGGTAGGCAGACAGGTAGTCAGACAGGTAGACAGACAGGTAGGCAGACAGGTACACAGACAGGTACACAGACAGGTAGTCAGACAGGTAGACAGACAGGTAGACAGACAGGTAGTCAGACAGGTACACAGACAGGTAGTCAGACAGGTAGACAGACAGGTACACAGACAGGTAGTCAGACAGGTAGTCAGACAGGTAGTCAGACAGGTACACAGACAGGTAGTCAGACAGGTACACAGACAGGTACACAGACAGGTAGTCAGACAGGTAGTCAGACAGGTAGTCAGACAGGTACACAGACAGGTAGTCAGACAGGTACACAGACAGGTACACAGACAGGTAGTCAGACAGGTACACAGACAGGTACACAGACAGGTAGTCAGACAGGTAGACAGACAGGTACACAGACAGGTAGAAAGACAGGTGTGTGTGTACCTGTGAGCAGAGAGTGAGGATGCTCATCTGGATCAGCTCTGCAGGTCTCCCTCCACTCAGGTAGTTACCTGCACAGAGTCAAACAGGTGTGTGTACAGGTTTGTGTATAGGTGTGTAGTACAGGTGTGTGGACAGGTGTTTAGTAAAGGATTGTGTACAGGTGTGTGTACAGGTGTGAAATACTGACCCTGGTACAGCGTTGCCGTGTGGTTGCTAAGGCTCCACAGTCCGTACAGAGCGCAGAGTTTCTTCAGAACAGGTCTTAGAGCAGCCGGAGTGTCAGGGTCAAAGGTCACATCATAAAACCTCTTCAGACAGTTCTGGTCAATGTAGGCGATCGCCAGAGAGCGGCAGAAATACACCTGCACACACACACACACACACACACACACACACACACACACACACACACAATGCGTGTTTATCAAACAACAATCCGCCGCTATAAAGCTTTAGCTCCTCCTACATTGACACGTCACACTGCACATGTGCAGACTGTCAGACAAACTCACTAAACGTTTGAGTCTCAGCAGAGATTTAAACATGATGACATCATAGACACACTCAAAAACAGGCTCAGTGACACACACGTTTCCCAGAACTACAGCACACACCCACCCATCAGTATGTAACACAAAGCAGATGACAGATCAGCCGTCAGGGAAACAAACATCATGTGTTTATGTTTCTAACCAGCTGATCTGATGTTACAAACATGACGCAGGACGTGTGTGTGATCTGATAACACTGTTCCAGTTGTTTCTCATCTGAAGTCCAAAAACAGGATGAAGGATTATCATCACAAGAAGAACCTCAGCTCATGATCGTCTCTAATCCAAACACAGCTCCAAGTCCGACGGGATGACGGAGGATGACTCTGCAGTTTCACACTCAAACTAATCTGGAATAAAGAATAATCTTTGTTTTGGACACATGAACCGGGATCAGACGGCGCTGCACCTCAGACACAACTGCCCTCTGACCGTGTCCATGACCCCCCTCTGACCCTGTCCATGACCTCCCTCTGACCCTGTCCATGACCCCCCTCTGACCCTGTCCATGACCCCCCTCTGACCCTGTCCATGACCCCCTCTGATCCTGTCCATGACCGCCCTCTGACCCTGTCCATGACCTCCCTCTGACCCTGTCCATGACCCCCCTCTGACCCTGTCCATGACCCCCCTCTGATCCTGTCCATGACCGCCCTCTGACCCTGTCCATGACCGCCCTCTGACCCTGTCCATGACCTCCCTCTGAACCTGTCCATGACCTCCCTCTGACCCTGTCCATGACCTCCCTCTGAACCTGTCCATGACCTCCCTCTGAACCTGTCCATGACCCCCCTCTGACCCTGTCCATGACCTCCCTCTGAACCTGTCCATGACCTCCCTCTGACCCTGTCCATGACCGCCCTCTGACCGTGTCCATGACCTCCCTCTGACCGTGTGTTCCCCGTGTTTTTTCAGATTCATATCTCTCACCTGGCTGTTGTTTCGAGCCTCAAAGTCTTCCAGTCCTGCGTCTCTCTGCTGCTGCAGCCTCCTCTGACTCTCCTCCAACAGGAAACACACCAACCACTGAAACGCAGACACACACACTGACACAGGACAACAGGACAGAGGACAGAGGACACAGGACACAGGACACAGGACAACAGGACACAACACACAACACACAGGACACAGGACACAGGACAGGACACAAGGACAACAATCGGTGGTCAGCGGGTCACAAAGCTCTGACAAACAGAATCAGCTTTATTCACACACACAGACGGTGTCTCTTTTTTACAGATCTTAAACTTCCTGTGCAGAGGACCTTGAAAATAAAAGATGATGTCACCTGTTTGGTTTATAATAAAAAGCTGTAGACGCTGTTAAAGGAGCGAGCAGAGTTTTGAGAATAAAAGACTTCCTGTATAGAACAGACATTAACTCATCACTCTGACTGATTCATCCAGGTGAGCTGACGTGACGCTTACCTGCAGGCTCCATACACTCCTCCAGGGTCGTTGCTGTGAATTTATTCCCAAGGATGGTTTGGTAACCGTCCAGGAAGTCGACGGAGTGAAGAGGAGACTCGATCTTTACTCCGTCTGAGAGATGAGAGCAGAGCTTCATTTCGTGTGTGTGTGTGTGTGTGTGTGTGTGTGTGTGTGTGTGTGTGTGTGTGTGTGTGTGTGTGTGTGTGTGTGTGTGTGTGTGTGTGTGTGTGTGTGTGTGCAGACTCACCGTGTTGCTTGGCGTGCAGCAGGCTGAGCAGGTAGTTGCTGGTTTGTTGCAGCAACACGTTGTTGTCTCCTTCATACGTGCAGTTTGGATCGTTGTTGTCCCTCAGTTCACCCAGACGGTTCACTACGGAGAGAGAGAGAGGAATCAGGTAGTGTGTGTGTGTGTGTGTGTGTGTGTGTGTGTGTGTGTGTGTGTGTGTGTGTGTGTGTGTGAGAGTGAGAGAGACTGACTGGCCAGGTATCCATGCCCCCCGCAAGCCTCTCTGCACTCCTGGATCCCGCGCTGAGCCATCCACGAGGCCAGAGGTTTACTGGAGCAGGAGATGGCGTGGATCTCTCTGCCCAGGTCCGCCTACACACACACACACAGATGAAGGTATTTCTGCAGCACCTGTGATGGTAGAAGTTGTTTTTGTCGAAAACAGACGTGTGTGTTGCTACATTTGGAGACAAAACGTTTGAAGTTGTAAACGTGTCGAGTTGTTTCGTCTCTCACATTCTTCACTGCAGAAACATCTCTCTCTCTGTATCATCATTAATATTTATTATTATTATTATAAACATGTCTCCTCACCTGTCTCTCTCTCTCTCTGTATCATCATTAATATTTATTATTATTATTATAAACAAGTACATTTTTGTTTAAATAAATAGTTTTCAGTTCAGTCCTGCATTTGGGTTCTCTTTGTTTTTTCACATTGGCTCTTGGCTCATGGTGCTCGCTCTGACTCACATGGCGCTCGCTCTGACCTGCATGGCGTTCGCTCTGACCTGCATGGCGCTCGCTCTGACCTGCATGGCGCTTGCTCTGACTCACATGGCGCTCGCTCTGACTTGCATGGCGCTCGCTCTCTGACTCACATGGCGCTCGCTCTGACCTGCATGGCGCTCGCTCTGACTCGCATGGCTCTCGCTCTCTGACTCGCATGGCGCTCGCTCTCTGACTCGCATGGCGCTCGCTCTGACTCGCATGGCGTTCACTCTGACCCGCATGGCGCTCGCTCTGACCCGCATGGCGCTCGCTCTGACTTGCATAGCGCTCGCTCTCTGACTCACATGGCGCTTGCTCTCTGACTCACATAGCGCTCGCTCTCTGACTCACATGCTGCTTGCTCTCTGACTCACATGGCGCTCGCTCTGACTCACATGGCGCTCGCTCTGACTCACATGGCACTCGCTCTGACCTGCATGGCGCTCGCTCTCTGACTCACCTAGCGCTCGCTCTGACTCGCATGGCGCTCACTCTGACTCACCTGGCGCCCGCTCTGACTCACCTGGCGCTCGCTCTGACTCACCTGGTGGTCGCTCTTGTTGCCCATCACCTGTCCCATCTGAAACTCCACGTAGTTCATGAAGATGGTTTTGGTGAAATGTTCCAGAGCGTACGCTGCGGCCAGGTAGGGGATCAGACGCCATTGCTGTGAAGAATATTTGATGTTAGGAGTCAAACGGAGACGTGACCATGAGGAACATAAAGGGGGCGGTATCTTCAGAGACCTGCAGCTGGTATTCTAGGACGGGGATCTCCTCGGCGTCAAGGGGGCCAAACTGCCTCCTGGTGGCCGAGTACCTGACCGCCACGGTCAGAGCCAGCTTCAGGTTGGTCAGAGCCATCCTGCTGATGGACATCCGGCCCGACGACAGCGCCCCCAGAGACGCCCCGAAACGCTTCTTAGAGTCCTGGAAGACAGACAGACGAGAGGACGTGAGACAGGCAGACAGGAAGACAGACAGACAGACAGGCAGACAGAAAGACAGACAGACAGACAGACAGACAGACGGACAGACGGACAGGCAGACATCTTACTGACTTTAAACGGGGTGACGTAGCGTCCGTCAGGCGTCACGTCTCCCGTCTTATTCAGCAGATTCTCTCGAGGGATCCTCACGTTGTGAAACAGAGCAAACCTGAAGAGAGACCACGCCAAAGTGTTTGTAAGGACTGCAGCTCCCCCTAGTGGGCAAAACTTCAAAGTGCATCAACCCCTGTGCATTGATCTTTGTCTGATAAAAACTCAACGTACCCGTTATCGAGGCCGTTCTGACCCAGCTTCTTCCCCATGTCTCCCACCAGGACGCCGGGCAGAGCGAGCAGCGTGTGAGGGTCCCTCACCTGGAGGACAACACGGACATTCAGGTGGGACTAAATGAACTTCATCTAGGTTACTCTGAAGGTGTTCTGTGCTCCTCAGCCTCTATTAACACCTGTTGGTTACCACGACAACACACACACGTTCTCCACGCTCCATAATGAGCGTAACGTGCAGCTAACCTCCTGCACACGGTCGGATCTGAACTGTTTGTTGTCAAACGTGATTCTGCACATTTTAAACCATGTCTCCTCGTCTGCTCGCCATCTCTCACCGGGACGATGAAGGAGTGCAGGCCGTGGCACACCTGGTCAGGTGTGTAGAGCTGAGCGAACACCACGGCGTGAGTGGCGTTCTTCCCCAGATTCCCCACCCAGAACTTCGCCGCCTCGAAGTCCGGAGAGTTGATGACAAACTCCTGAAGGGGAGGAGACGGAGTTTGTGATGATGAAAAAAGTGTGTGTGTGTGTGTGTGTGTGTGTGTGTGTGTGTGTGTGTGTGTGTGTGTGTGTGTGTGTGTGTGTGTGTGTGTGTGTGTGTGTGTGTGTGTGTGTGTGTGTGTGCGTCTGTGTCTCTTTGTGTCTGTGTGTGCTTGGGTGTGTGTGTCTCTGTGTGTCTGTGTGTGCTGCCTGTGATCGTCCTTCCTCTCTTGATGTTTTCAGACACCCTCTCTTTGGGAGGACTATCCCTCTGTCCAGCGGTTCAGGCTTTGTGATGTCAGAGAACGGACTGATCGCGACCAATGCTCACGTCGTCTCCAGCACATCACCTGTGTCCGGTCAGCTGTGTGTGTATGCATGTGTCTGTGCGTGTGTGTTATGTTGTTTACCTGTGTCTTGGGGTCATAGGTCGCTGTCGTCCTCATGGCTCTGGTGTTGCTGCCGTGACTCAGCTCAGTGAGAGCAAAGCATCCAAAAATCTACACACACAAACAAACACACAAACACACACACACTATTACCTTCATTTCAGGCAGTGTTAATCTTCACACAATTTTCTAATTTAGTCAGAGTCTCCTGAGGAAAATGTCCTTTATATTTAGTAAATTAGTCACTGACTAAAATTGTCATTTTAATAATAATGATTTTAGTTGATGAAAATAGAAGATATTTTAGTCAACAAAATCAGACGCCAGCTTTTATTTTTATTATCAGAAGCTCCAGGGGGCGGGGCTTCACAGACCTGCAGGCTCCAGGCTCCAGGCTGCACATTGTTGCACTCAACACACAAGCACACATTTGATGAAGTCTGCAAGTATGCCTGGTTTACAATGATTTTAGAACAGCTGGGGGGGTACGTGATAATCATCACTTGTAATGTAATTTTCATTTCGTCACATTTTCGTCAATTAGATTAAGTAATATTATTTATCAAATCGTCAAATAGCGGAGTTTCGTCTCGTCATAGTTGACTAATTTATAAAGACCTTCGTCAACACATTTTTTCTTCATTTATTTCGTCGACGAGATTAACACTGATTTCAGGGGCATATCAGTTATAAATAATATAAATAAAATGCACATGGTCTGCAAACAGTGAATTGACATGATATTTTTTAAGTAGACCCCTGGGGCAAAATACATGTAGAGACCAGGATGGGGCCCGAGACAGAGCCTTGTGGGACGCCACATGTAAGTACAGCCACCTCAGAGGAATAGTCTCTCTATTCTGTCAGACACCATCATTGAAACGTGACCACAGGATCATGTGATGGACAGAGTCATAGGCAGCAGTTCAATTGAAACACCAGAGTCAACATATTAGACACGTTAAATGGGTTTATGAAGTGGGTCCATGCAGGAGCGTCTGGAGTTAGAGGACATGTCAGCAGCTGAGAACCATTAGTTTGTATCTGCAGGCTGCAGGTGAGTTCAAGTCTTACCTTCATGGCTTTGATGTTTTTAACAAATTCACTGTGCCTTGCTGAGCCAGAGCTCGCCACAGTCGCTCCAAACATCTGAAACACACACCACGAGACACGACAGGAAGTGAGAATCTTTACACAGGAAGTAAAAGAATAGCGAAGTCTGTCAGCGTGTTCTCTTCGATGCCTCCAGTGGTGATAAACTGTAACTGCAGCTGTGCTGTACTTTTATTGATGGTTGACATCAACTTTTCACTGTCTCACACACACACACACACACACACACACACACACACACACACACACACACTCACTCACCCCTCTGTTGAGGAAGTATTTAGTATTACAGGACCAGTCGTACATGCCCAGACTGTTACTGAGGACGGAGGCCTTCCAGGGATTAGCCATAACTTCTTCATCTGGCAGGAAGTCATAGGAGAACAGCTTCTTCACCCTGAGAAGGATTAATGACAGGTGATACAGGAAGTAAAGATCAGAGAATAATGTCAGGTGATACAGGAAGTAAAGATCAGAGAATAATGACAGGTGATACAGGAAGTAATCTCTGTGCTGTTGTTACCTGAGGAAGGTGAGCTCTCTCATCTTCTCCAGAGGAATGTCCTCACCAGGCCGCCGGGCGAACAGAGGGTCGTTCTCCAGAGTCTGGAACACACGTTTCTGTAGAGCAGACAACAACACAAAATGAGGAAAACATACATGAAGAGAACATGAGGAGAACATGTAGAGAACATGAGGAGAACATGTAGAGAACATGAGGAGAACATACATGTGGAGAACATGTAGAAAACATGAGGAGAACATGAAGAGAACATGAGGAGAACATGAGGAGAACATGAGGAGAACATGTAGAGAACATGAGGAAAACACAAGGAGAACATGTGGAGAACATGTGGAGAACATGTAGAGAACATGAGGAGAACATGTGGAGAACATGTAGAGAACATGAGGAAAACATACTTGTGGAGAACATGTAGAGAAAATGAGGAGAACATACATGTGTGGCGCATGTAGAGAACATGTAGAGAACATGTGGAGAACATGAGGAGAACATACATGTGTGGAACATGCAGAGAATGTGTGGAGACAACAGACAGGCAGAAGATGACAGAGATAAGAATTAAACAGAACCAGGGTTCTGTGCGTTTTGTTCTGGTTCTCTTACCTTGTAAGCGATGATCTCCTCTCCTTCGATGAACAGCAGCATCTCCTTCCAATTAAAAGAAGCTTTCTTCCTGTAGACGTCCAGTGGGCCGCTGGGGAGGTCAGGAACCAAAGAGTCCATCTCTTCTGTTCTCACTGACGAACAAGAACACAAACAATCAATACAGGAATGTTCTAATGAGACTGAAAGGTTCTCAGGAAAGACTAAAAGGTTCTCAGAGAGACTGAAAGGTTCCCAGATGATACTGTAAGGTTCTCAGGGGACTAAAAGGTTCTCAGTAGATATTGGAAGGTTCTCAGGGGAGAGAAAAAGGTTCTCAGTAGATATTGAAAGGTTCTCAGGAGAGAGAAAATGGTTCCCAGGTGATATTGTAAGGTTTTCAGGAGAGACTAACGGGTTCTCAGTAGAGACTAAAAGGTTCTCAGTGGAGACTGAAAGGTTCTCAGGAGAGAGAAAAAGGTTCTCAGTAGATATTGAAAGGTTCTCAGGAGAGAGAAAATGGTTCCCAGGTGATATTGTAAGGTTCTCAGGAGAGACTGAAAGGTTCTCAGGAGAGAGAAAAGGGTTCCCAGGTGATACTGTAAGGTTCTCAGGAGAGACTGAAAGGTTCATAGGAGTGACTAAAAAGGTTCTCAGGAGAGACTAAAAGGTTCTCAGGAGAGACTGAAAGGTTCATAGGAGTGACTAAAAAGGTTCTCAGGAGTGACTAAAAGGTTCTCAGGAGAGACTGAAAGGTTCATAGGAGTGACTAAAAAGGTTCTCAGGGGAGACTAAAAGGTTCTCACTAGAGATTAAACTGACACTGTGGAGATCAATGTAGCTGCGATCCTGTGAAACAGGACAGTCGAGGTGTTTCACGCTCAGAGCTCCTGATCTTTTCAAACATCAGCTTCAACAATCAAGCATTAACCTTTACGAGGATCAAACTCAAGAACTCTCCATCCTGAGAGAGAATCTTTAAAGTATTTACGGACACAAACACCGCTCTTACCTGGCTGAAGGTCAGCGTGTTCTGTAATCTACCTGTGTTCAATCTGAAGACTTGTTTTCTGCAGTCAGGTGCTGATATTTTCCACCTTCACCTTCAATATAACGCTTATCAGTCTCCACGCCAATGTGCAGCAGCACGTGTTTATGGATTATTTTATCTACACTGAACCAGGTAACCATGGTTACCTCAGGTGTTATCAAATAGGACAGAGTTCAATGTGTTTGTGCAGGGTCACTTCAGTTTAGACACACATCAGACTGTGTGTAACACGGGGGGGAGAGACACTCTGCTCCTCACTGGTTAGGGACCCTGCAGGGAAAATGAAAGTTCCATCAGTGAAACCTTCCCTCCTCTTAAGCTCCGCCCTCTTGTCCAAGTGTGGTCGCTTCTGCTTCCAAAATAAACACTGTGCCACCCCAATGCCAAACCAAAGCCTTCAAACCGACAAACATCTGAATGACCCCCAAGTCTCAAATTCACCATTCAGAAACAAAGGTGGCGCTCTGCGGCGACTCCACTGCACTAAACAACCTCTTAACCGATAGTTATGAAGACCAACAAGCGCTGCCTTCAAGTGCTCCTCAAAAACATTGTACGTCCCAGTTGTGTAGTTGTAATAACATCAAACACGCATTCAAGTTCAAAAGCAACAAACATGGACCCTAGAAGAAGAAAGGTTGTTTTCATGGCTGATGTTTATTTACTAAAGGTTAGAACACTGAGTGAAGAACACTGAGTGAAGAACACTGAGTGAAGAACATAGAGTGATGAACATAGAGTGAAGAACATAGAGTGAAGAACACTGAGTGAAGAACACTGAGTGATGAACATAGAGTGAAGAACACTGAGTGAAGAACACTGAGTGATGAACACAGAGTGAAGAACACTGAGTGAAGAACACTGAGTGATGAACATAGAGTGAAGAACACTGAGTGAAGAACACTGAGTGATGAACACTGAGTGATGAACATAGAGTGAAGAACACTGAGTGAAGAACACTGAGTGAAGAACACTGAGTGATGAACATAGAGTGATGAACATAGAGTGAAGAACACTGAGTGAAGAACACTGAGTGATGAACATAGAGTGAAGAACACTGAGTGATGAACATAGAGTGAAGAACACTGAGTGATGAACACTGAGTGATGAACATAGAGTGAAGAACACTGAGTGAAGAACACTGAGTGAAGAACACTGAGTGATGAACACTGAGTGATGAACATAGAGTGAAGAACACTGAGTGAAGAACACTGAGTGATGAACATAGAGTGAAGAACACTGAGTGATGAACATAGAGTGAAGAACACTGAGTGAAGAACACTGAGTGAAGAACACTGAGTGAAGAACACTGAGTGATGAACATAGAGTGAAGAACATAGAGTGATGAACATAGAGTGAAGAACATAGAGTGATGAACACTGAGTGAAGAACACTGAGTGAAGAACATAGAGTGATGAACATAGAGTGATGAACACTGAGTGAAGAACATAGAGTGATGAACATAGAGTGATGAACACTGAGTGATGAACATAGAGTGATGAACATAGAGTGATGAACACTGAGTGATGAACATAGAGTGATGAACATAGAGTGAAGAACACTGAGTGAAGAACATAGAGTGATGAACATAGAGTGAAGAACATAGAGTGATGAACATTGGGTGCGTTCGAATTGTCCCTCCTATCTCCTTTCACTATCCACTTTACCTTAACCCCGGAAGCATTTAAGTGGCGGCCACGATAAGAGCCGTTCGAATTCTCTAAAAGTTAAGGAAAGGTGGGTCAATGCTTCCTTTATAGCCTCCTTTAGCATAGGATACACTGGACCATCCTTTACCAAAGGAGATGAGATATGGCGTCCAACAATTCCTTGTGGCCGCAACATTTAAAGCGACTCGCGCATCCGACCGTTAACGAACATTAACGATGACAGAAAAGGGAGATCATAAGTTACCATTGCAATACTATGCCTTGAACAACTTTCAACAATTTTTAACCCGTAGGCGAACTATGAACGTTATGCTGATGTTATAAAACGATCAAAGTGAGTTTAACTTTTATTGCAGCCTATGCTCAGTTTGCATTCGTTATTTATCCACTTTGAGTGTTTTGGCAGCCGTAAGCAATATCATAAAGAACGTTAAACTTTCCTTCAGTCAGATGCTGAAACCCTTGCCTTGATTAAGGTTCTTGAGATATTATTCAAAGCCATATAATCAGATTATAATCACCATAAAAAACATCACCCTGTCTTTCAGGTGAAAAGGGATCAGAGACATTTTGAGCCAGATGATGTTTTATTCAACATATTTCATTCAATTCAGAATGTTTTGTGCATTTCTTCAGTTGTACATTCTTGTCTTGCATAAATGTAACAAATAATTTCATATTTATGTTGATGTTGATTTCTGAGTGGACAGGAAGGTGATGGTTTCACTTTTGTTACTTGTAGCCTGGTATTCTATATTGTTTTTATTTCAATCCTAACATTGTGGTAATTAAGATTATTTCACCGGTACGAAGGCACAGGGGAAAGTTTTTTAGATGCGTTTTTTGTGTAGTCCATTTTCTGAACATTGTAGTTTCAACACGGCAGACCCACGTCATTAACCTCCGCCGGCCCTTCGCATTTAATGACGTCGCCCAGTGGTAAATGCGGTCGGATTGTCAGAGCAACGAGATCGCCTTTCCCTAAGTCCTTTATGAATTCTCCTAACATCTTTCCTTGACTTCATGACGTTTTCCCCGGGGTTAAGGTAAAGTGGATAGTGAAAGGAGATAGGAGGGACAATTTGAACGCACCCCTAGAGTGACAGACAGACTCTAGTGGACAATGGACGAACTGCAGCTGTAAAGTTGGACATTTTAACATGGGGTTCTATGAGGACTGACTCACTGCAGGAGACAGACTCTAGTGGACACTGGAGGAACTGTAGATTTTGGCACTTGGTTAAAAAGTAAACAGAGTTACACTGCTCACATGAAGCTCTTGTAATTTAACTTTAATAAAATAATGGATTTCTATTTCACATTTTAAACTGTTTGTATATCTGAGGTTTCCTCCGTGGTATATGACGTATTGACTGTGATTCTTTGATCCCTCTGCACGTGGAGGAAGAACTTAAACTTTAATATTGAATCATTAAATGATTGTCACGTTCCCTCCTGAACAGGACTAACACAGTTCTAACCCTCAGATGTTTCTCATTAAGAACAACAACGGCATCTCACCTGACAGGTAAGTATCGTCTCTCTTTCTCTCTTTCTCTCTCTCTCTCTCTCTCTCTCTCTCTCTCAGGTGTCCTGCAGTGGGCTTTACGTGGACCTGTGGACCTCTGTTCAGTCCTTCAAAAGGTTTTTTTTGTTTCCGGGATCTGAAACAACAACAACAATTCTTCCTGTCCGTACCCTTCAGAATAAAAGCATCATCGCCCATAAAATCTAATTACAGTAGTGGTAGTAAAATAAAATAACATATAATGAATATCTATATTATTGTTTACAGTAGAAATCAATAATATGTGCAGATATATAGCAGAAATTCAACTTTTAAAAACATTGTTTGCTTCACTGTTGGTTTTATTCTGAAGGTCTGGGTGAAGATTGGGAAGCTTCCGGTCTGAGTCAACTTGATAAAAGTTAATTTTTTCATGGAAATAAACTTCTTAACAAACATCATGACATCAAAATAAAAACACGAGAACTTTTATTTAAAAACGAATAAATAATAACTCATATTTAAACAGTTTGATTAAAAACACTGAGAGGATTAATCACGATGAAGAAGACGAAAAAGAAGTGTGATGATGGATAGTTGAGAGTTAAACGTTTCAAACACGCTCAGCTTGTTCATGATCCCTTCTTCTGACCCGTCTTCTGTGCTTCTGTCGTGATGAACCTCAACAGTTCAACGAATGACTGATTAAAGGAGAGAGAGGAGCAATCAGAGACCGGTTCAGATTGAAGTGACAGCGCTGCCTCTGATTACTGAAACACAGTTAGTGTCTGCAGAGCCTTCAGGTGTCTGAGGTGTCTGAGGTGTCAAGGTGAAGATGGTGAAAAACTTATCCACCAGTTTAAAAACAAAACAATCTGAGTTGGTTTAAAAGTTAACAAACGGAAGGATTGAATCTCACAGTCTGCATGGTACAGATGTGTTTACATAAGAGCTGACAGAGCACCTTCCTGTCAGTGTCTCTGATTGAACGACAGCTCTCTGCCGCCCTCTGCTGGTCACCACTGCTCCTGTCAAGGATTTCTGTGTGACGTTTGTTAAAAACATTCATTCAGTTAGTGAAGACAACAATCCAAAGCTTTTCTTACATCTTTATTATTTCATGTACACACAGTAAATTCAGACTTTAAATATGAACGAATGATCAACTGGAATATTTCATCCTGCTTTCTAATCCCGTCTCTGAGAGGCGTCACTTACCCCTGATGCTGTTAACCTAACAGGTGAGAACAGGTGAGTCTCTGGTCCTGGGACTGACAGGTGTTCAGGTGTGTCAGCAGGAAATCACATCACTCACATACACAGATTTAACCACAACAACGCTGCAGCAACAATCAGTGAAGGAACAACATCATGATGAACAGTTACACCTGGACGTCTACCTGACAGATCAAACCCATGATGACTCAGTCCTGCAGGGGGCAGCAGCAGGCTCCAATCAGTGACACATACTCACCATGCAGGCTGAAAAATAAGAGTTATAATCATCAGAGTTCAGTCATGTGGCTCCTCATGATAGAGATGACCTAACACCTTTGACTTAAGGTCGTCAATATGTCTTATACTCTGATAGTCTCTGAAACCACGTGTTTTAAAATGAGATCATCTCTGTTTTTAATAAGCGATCGAATCAAATCAGCTCTTTATTTCTAACCCTACAGCAAGAGAAAGAACGGAGCAAAGACGGTCCGTTCAGACTCAGGTCAGTGACGGGTCTGACGTCCTGTTGGCGTGGAAACATTAGAGTGTCAGGGTCGTTTGTTTTTGGACCCTTCAATGTAAAGATCACTAAATTATAAAGGAGCACAGAAACACCTTAAAGAGTTTTAAACCCCTTCAGATAAATATCGCTGCAGGACAGAGGCCTCCTGATTTTTCAGTCTTTAAAGGTCCAATCTTCATTTGTGCTTTCAGTCGTACAAGTATTTGATTTTAAAGCTAATTACTAGCATCAGAGGCTAATGTGAAACCAGCTCATCCGGTGGGTTGGTAGGTTTGTTTAAATAATCAGCTGACTTCGGCTGAAGACCTGGTCAGGGTCTGGCTCTGACTTTGTTGAAGCCTTACATGATAGTTTGGGTGTCTAAGGAGCCGTCTTTGGAGATTTTCTGGCCCATCCAGCCGGTAGGAGACCAATAGGAAGACCCAGGCCTCTAAAGAGGGATTATGTAAACCGTCTGTTCTTGGTTTGTCTCTCCAAGAGGAGGAAGGAGAGAGAGACGTCTGTCTACGCTGCTTCACCTGTTTCCACCACAAAGTTAGTTATCACCTCAGATCTAAGAAATCTGCTCACAAGTTCAAGTCAATCAAGACCGAGCGACCTACAGACTCAGGGACATGCAGACCGAGGGAACTGCAGACTCAGGGACATGCAGACCGTGGGACCTGCAGACTCAGGGACCTGCAGACCGAGGGACCTGTGGACTCAGGCACCTGCAGACTGAGCGACCTGCAGACTCAGGGACCTGCAGACCGAGGGACCTGCAGACCAAGCGACCTGCAGACTCTTCTAAATACTGCAGCGCTGTTTCCGCCAACTCTCAGCAGACACTCATTTCTTCACTCTAACTGGCTGTTAGCGCCCCCTGTTGGTGAGTTAGACTCTTTTTACAATGAGGCCGATCTACAGAGATAGACACGATTGTTACTCAATGACTGAATAATGGATCATTGAAATACAAACAACAGCGACGCTCAGAGACGCAGTTTGCTCTGCAGCGCAGTTAGAGGAACATTTAACCCTTTAGAGTGTTTTGCGACTTTATGATTCATTTTCAGGTTCAAAAGCTGCTCAATGAATCAGGTGGATAAAAGTATCAGAACACACCTCAATGATCTCACAGCCAGGTCAGCTGTCACCCTGTCTTTATGCTAAGCTAGGCTTAGCATTTACATACCCTCAAGGTTTTCCTTTAAAGGAGTAGGTCGACCTTTGGTAAAGTAAAGCTGTGAACCCGCTCCCTGCGACCATGTTTGACCTGTGACATCTTAATCATAAATGTGTATTTAGCTAAAGTTAGCCTAGCTTAGCATAAAGACTGGAATAAGGGGAGCAAGCAGGTGGACTGACTCCATCATAATTTTGTCCCTTTTTTCCCTCTGTGTCTGAAGTATACTTTAACTTAAACATTTTTTATTCCTGGTGATTTAAAGAGACAGTCTGTTATTTTAATGACTGATAGAAACATAAAATACTGATGCTTTAAAAACTATTTCATGAAACAGGTGTGTAGGAGAGAGATGATAACTTCAAACACTGCAGACAAACTCCTGCACACCTTGTAGATCACATAAAAACATGGGCAATGTTAAGGTACACTGTAAATGTTTCCTGTGTGTTTGTGCGATTTAGACAAGAGTGTCGAATATTTTAGAAAATTAAAAACAGAACTGATCCAACATTGGGTGCCTATGACTTCTGTTTGTTTGATGCCATGGTATCCACCGAGAGATATTGATATCAGCTGATTTGAACCAGTTTCACGCTAAAGGTTAAGATTCTGTTGTCATGACTACTCTGCTGTAAAAACATCTTGAGACACAGACATCACCACGACATGAATGAAACGTAAAGTGTCAAAAAGAAAACTTAACATTTCTATAAACGCTTGAAAATAATGTGAAAGAAAACACAGACTCGTCACTTGTCTTTACTTAAAATACAACAAATGAGGAAAGTTTGTTCATGGTCCCCCTAGTGGAGGTCCAAGGCATTACCAATCAAGCCATGATAAAGCAATCACTACAAATGAAGCACATAGAAGGATTTCATGTACAGATAGAGGTTTGCATATTAAAATAAAGTTCTCTTTGAAGCGGACACACTTCTATCATCACACTACTCCAGCAGTGCATCTGATGTATAGTTTACAGGTTACAACATTAGTCTCTAAAGTCTCTACAGCTGGAGGTTAATGGAACCAAAAGGACAATATTTCCCTCCGAAATGTTAGAAGGTCTCACACAATGGAATGAATTCACAGAAAGTCAACTATTATCTAAATGTCACTTTTTCACTCTTAGCTTAACCAACTCAAACCTGCATTAGTCCTTCAAACAGCTGATTTTACCTGTTACTGTGTTCATGGTCTGAATGTGAATCTCATGTGAGAACCAAAGATCTTCTCTGTATTCTGCTGGGCCATCTGCTCCACAGACGCTACAGATGCTTCACGAGCTGCTCTACAGACGCTAGCTGCTCTACAGACGCTAGCTGCTCTACAGACGCTAGCTGCTCTACAGGTGCTTCATGAGCTGCTCTACAGATGCTAGCTGCTCTACAGACGCTTCATGAGCTGATCTACAGACGCTAGCTGCTCTACAGATGCTTCATAAGCTGCTCTACAGATGCTCCATGAGCTGCTCTACAGACGCTAGCTGCTCTACCGACGCATCATGAGCTGCTCTACAGATGCTAGCTGCTCTACAGACGCTTCATGAGCTGCTCCACAGACGCTAGCTGCTCTACAGATGCTCCACGAGCCGCTCTACAGACTCTAGCCGCTCTACAGATGCTTCTGGAGCTGCTCTACAGATGCTAGCGGCTCTACAGATGCTTCTGGAGCTGCTCTACAGATGCTTCTGGAGCTGCTCTACAGATGCTCCATGAGCTGCTCTACAGACGCTAGCTGCTCTACAGATGCTCCATGAGCTGCTCTACAGATGCTAGCTGCTCTACAGACGCTTCATGAGCTGCTCTACACATGCTAGCTGCTCTACAGACACTTCAGGAGCCGCTCTACAGACGCGAGCCGCTCTACAGATGCTTCATGAGCTGCTCTACAGACGCTAGCTGCTCTACAGACGCTTCATGAGCTGCTCTACAGATGCTAGCTGCTCTACAGATGATTCATGAGCTGCTCTACAGACGCTCCGTGGGTTACTTGTTTGTTGACATCAACAATATTTAGAGGCTACTCTGCAGTAAGGTTGTCAAAATGTCTGATGATGTGATGCCTTTTTGATACCACATGTTTTAAAACGATACAATTGGTGAGTGTAATGATTGATGTACTTAAAAAAATGACATCTATGCCATAAGATAGAAGCAAAGGAGAGGAACGTATCCATTCGAAATAACAACTACACCAAATGTTTCCATTAACTCATGGTTAAGTAGTAGTTAGT